GACGGACGGACAGGTTTTTGTTCAGTGACTCCACCTTTGGTCTTTGTTTTATTTCCACCCTAAGTTTCCATGGTTACAGGTCTGTTTCCGTGGTTACAGGCCCTGCTGGTCTTCCTCCGTAAGGTGGTCTTTCATCAGGACCAGAACCGAATGTCGCTGTGGAACGTCTCCATGGTGATGGCACCCAACCTGTTTACCTGCCGTCACCGTGGCAACAAGTCCTCAATCGCTAAGCAACGGGAGGAGATGGAGGAAGCGGTGGGAGCAGCTCACCTGATCCGGCTGATGATCACGCACCAGGACCTGCTGTGGACTGTGAGTCTCCGGTCATACCTGCAAAGCTCAGGTTATACTGCCCCGCCCCCTCAATGACATCACTGCTGTCTGTCACAGGTGCCCACCTTCCTGCTGTCGCAGGTGAGACACATGAACCAGGCGTCCAATCAGAGACAGCTCGGCCTGAGCAGGACAAAGAGACGACTGCTGAGGAGGAGGAACGACAAGAACGACAGAGACCAGGTGAGACAGAGACCGGGACTGCCACAGAACTCACCTGCAGATTGTCGGAACCAGAACCCCCGGACCAAGTTCTGTCTCTGTGCAGGTCACGGAGCTGTGTGAAGGCGTGATCCGGGTGCACGCCCCTCGACACGCCAAGGTTTCCATGGCGATACAGCTGGAAGAGCAGATGACGGCCAGAGACGTGACGTCACGCTTCGAGTGCGAGAACACGTAAGACACGTTCTGTTCACCAGGACACGTTCAGCAGAACGTCATTGATCCTGCAAGATCTGACATTTAACCTGTCTGTCTGTCTGTCTGTCTGTCTGACCATCAGTCCTGTTCAGCGTCTGTATGAAGTCGGAGGAAACATCTGTGAGTCTCACTGTGACATCATCAAGACATTAACACCTGCCTCTCTGTCTCTAACCTGTCTGTCTGTCTCTAACCTGTCTGTCTGTCTCTAACCTGTCTGTCTGTCTCTCAGGTGAGCGCCGTCTCCATCCAGACTGCGTTTTATTGGACGTTTACAGAGTAAACCCTCACTGTGATTGGCTGATCAAACCGTGACGACCTGTCTGTCCCTCCCACCTGTCCCACCTGCTCCCTGATCAATGTTATTGATGAACTGACTGATTGTTCACTGTTGATGTGAAACCCTATTAAACCTGTGATGGCGCTCTGTCTCCCCCTGCTGGTCATTGCTTCAACCTGCACACTACGCTCAGAAGCAAAACTTCAGTAAACGCTCACCACAGCTGATCGATGAACACACTGATTGATGGGCTGCTCCTGGTTCAAAAGGTGAATAAAATGTTTTATTTCAGTATGAAGCAGAGCTGTGAGTCCGTTTGTCCACTCTGAGCTCCTGTAGTTCATGAACACTGGAAACAATCATGCGTGTGCTTCACAACACGCAGCTCTGCTCATGAAACTGAACAGAACAACAACAACAGTCTCTACAGTTCACCTTTACACAACCAATCAGTCAACACCTGGATCACATGACCGCTGAGGTCATCAGGCCACGTTGCAGTCAGTTCGCTCCGTGTGACACAAAAACATGACGTCATTCGAAAAAATCCGTTCAAA